GGTGTCGAATAAATCTGTGTCCAATAATTTTGTGTTCAATAATTTGGTGTCGGATCGATCGGTGTCGAATCGTACTGTGGTCAAACGGAACACGCCCGAGCTCACGTGTCCGACGAAAAGCCAAGCCTCCTCCTGCAAAGAATTCGAAATCTCGCGGCTGGACAATGCAACAAATCGGTGCTTCGCACGCTGTTTCTCGAGCATCTTCCCGAACAAGTACGCGCACATTTAGTCATCAGTAAAACTACAGATATCGCAAAACTAACGTTACAGGCCGACAAAATCGTCGAAATTATGAAACCGGCCGCAACAGAAGTATACACATTAAATAATAACAAGCCCAACGACTCTGACCTTGTTGATCTAAGAAACGCTATTACTACGTTAACGCGCGATCTCACGGCCTTACGCCAACAGATGAACAACAATAACAAACGAGAACGTTCTTGCTCACGCAGTAAAAGTCGAGAAGCAAACAATAACAATAACAATAACTGCTATTATCACAAGAAATTTGGAGACAAAGCGCGCAAATGCCAGGCACCGTGTGAAAAAACAAACACAACCGCCGCGGAAAACTAAGTTTGCTGTCGTCGGAGAGGGCGGCGATCGGCAGCAGCCCCATACATCAAAACAAAGAATACCGCCTATTTGTGTTCGACAAGACAAAACGGACGAAAATTCCTGATTGACACAGGCTCGGCGATATCTGCCATGCAACGACGAGATTTTAAAAATAAACTTACAATTAATTCCATGAAGTTATATGCGGCAAACTCGACAATATTTGACACATACGGACAACACTTGCTCAAGGACAATTAACTTGGCCTTACGACGAGACATACGATGGCCTTTTATAGTAGCGGACGTTGGAACGGCAATAATAGGAGCTGACTTAATCTCACATCACGGTCTCATTATAGATTTGGAACGGGCACGCATCATGGACCCAATCACGCAGCTGCACGTGCGGGGACGCATCTCTGAAATCTCGCATTACGGACTCTCCACAATCAGCGCTGACACGATTCCCACCTGTGCGGGCTATGCGGCGCTGATGAGCGAGTATTGCGACATCACCAAACCGTCGTTTGGACTTCGTCCACCGTCGGACTGCACCGTCGTGCATCACATTGTCACAGAGTGCCCACCAATCACTGAACGACCGAGGAAACTTGCAGACGAAAAGCTCGAGGCGGTCAGGACGCAGATCAACATGCTCTTGGAACTGGGAGTTATCAGGCCATCTTGCAGTCCATGGGCCAGCCCGCTGCACATGCAACGCAAAAAGAATGGAGATTGGAGGCCGTGCGGCGACTATCGCAAACTCAACGCCAAAACCATACCTGATATGTACCCGCCGCCTCTTATCCACGACCTCTTTCCCAAGCTACACCAAAAAAAGATCTTCTCCACACTGGACCTAGTAAGAGCATATTATCAGATTTTTATGGCTCCGGAAGACATTCAAAAAACCGCAGTTATCACTCCTTTCGGTCTCTTCGAGTTTGTGGTCATGCCCTTTGGTTTGCGATGCGCAACACAAACGTTCTAAAGATACATTGACTCGATTTTTCGTGATCTCGACTTTGTATTTTGTTATATTGATGACATCATCGTCATTTCAGAGTCACACGAGCAGCATCTGCAACACCTGCGCACCGTCTTCGAGCAACTGAGTGGTCACGGACTCACTATAAATCCCACCAAGTGCGCCATTGGTCGGACGGAGGTTACCTTTTTGGGATATCTTATCGACGCCTCCGGCTACAAACCTCCACAGGAGCGAATCCAGGCGATTACTCAGTATCCGCAACCGCAAACCATCATGGAACTCAGGCGATGTCTCGGTATGATCAATTATTACCGAAGCTGCAAACCACACGCTGCACGACTCCTGGAATCTCTAAACGCATATTTCAGGGAATCGCGCAAAAACGACAGGCGCAAAATCTGATGGACGGCGGCAGCAGAGGAGGCGTTTACCAACTGCAAAAACGCCTTAGCATCGACAACCTCAATGGCCTGTCTCTCTCTCACTGCATTGCTGACGCTGGTCACGGATGCGTCCGATACGACGATTAGAGCCTCTTTGGAGCAATATGTCAACGGCAATTGGTCGCCTGTTGGATTTTTCTCACGCAAGCTGTCGGACACAAAGAGGAGATACAGTACCTATGATAGAGAGCTGCTAGCTGTGTTTGCGGGTATCAAACATTTCAGACAGCTGGAATGCCGAAGGTTCACCATTAAAACGGACCACAAGCCGCTGACGTACGCCTTTGCCCAGAAATCGGACAAAGCCTCACCGCGACAGTTGCGACAACTTGACTTTATCTCGCAATTCTCCACCGATATCACTTATGTCAAGGGCAGGGAGAATGCAGTCGCAAACGCTCTGTCTAGAATAAACACAATCGATATGCCGACAGCACTCAGTTCTCGAGTCATTAGTGAAGAGCAGGAGCGGGACGGCGAGTTGAAGAACCTCATCCAACACCCGCTGTCCCTGAAGCTGCAGCAACACAACATTGAGGACAACACAGTGTACTGCGACATCAACGACGGTATCGTAAGGCCATATATACCTGCAAGCCTACGACGGACAGCATTCAATATCGTGCACGGTCTGTTGCACCCCAGCGGTCGTACCACAGCAAGGACCTTACAAGAAAAAGATACATGGCCAGAAATCAACAAAGACGCCATCAAATGGTCTAGAGAGTGCCTTCAGTGTCAGCAAGCCAAGGTTCAACGGCACAATCGCCTTACTCCACAAGGAATCGAGATCCCAGATGCGCGATTCAATCACATACATTTGGATCTCATCCTTCTGCCACCCGTTGATGGTTACCGTTACTGCTTAATCATTCTCGACAGATTCTCGCGGTGGCCGGTGGCGGTACCCCTGAGGGACTGCACTGCTGACACCGTCACCGCAGCGCTCTTCTCTCACTGAATCGCTCACTACGGCACACCACTTACCATTATCACGGATTAGGGACCGCAANTCGAGTCCACGCTGTTTAAAGCACTTACGAGGTTCCTCGGAAGCTGCAAAACAAGAACGACTCCCTATCACCCAGCCTCAAATGGAATTGTGGAGCGTTGGCACAGAACTCTAAAATCAGCACTCATGTGCAAAACACANGTGCTCTGGACACATCTACTGTCAGCGTTGATGCTTCGACTCCGCACAAGCTACAAGGAAAACATGAAAGCCTCTCCCGCAGAAATGCTATACGGCACTACGCTGCAAATACCAGGAGAATTCTTCGTACATCACGATCTACCCTCAGATCCTCAGAGTTTCGCTGAGAAGCACGGCGCCTTCATGCGAGAGATGCGTCCGGTTCCTATATCACATCACAACAAAATACACATTTTCAAACATAAAGATTTAGACACTTGTTCACAGGTCTTTGTTCGCTGCGATCACGTCAGAGCCCCGTTGGAGCCACTATACAGAGGATCTTACAAGGTTGTCGAGCGAATCTCTGACAGGGTATACAAGCTGGACATAGACGGAGAACATCAAAACATTTTAGTCAAACGGCTGAAACCGGCTCACATCGCTGAAGAGGACGCTTCATCAATCACGAGCCATTCGCAAATGCAACACCACCAGCACACGCAAGCGCCAAATCTCCGCAACATCGAGGACACGCCAAGGATCCAGAGGAGAGTCACGTTCGCCCAGATCCCTGCTCAACACACTGGGGGGGGAGTGGATGTGGCGGCTCCCTTACCGGCTGCGCCGGCGCCCCAAAAGCGGCGCCACCTAACGGGTTCCGAAAACGCTAATCAAGTACGCCATTGTTTCTGGTATCTTTGGTATAGTTTTTTGTTCGCGAGAGCGCGCTGCTGTTGTTAAATAAAACATTTGCAAACGATACATTTTTCTTCGGAGTCGACTGATTACTCCGTTGATATTAATTATTATTATTGTGTCGCAAGGGTGTTGAATATTCTTTTGGCAAAACGGAGGTTGTTTGAGGCGAAGCGTCCATTGGTTCTTCCGCGTCGTGAAATAGTTCTCTCATTTCCTCGTCCTCCTCCTTCTTTTCCCCTTCTCCAGCGATCACAGCAGTTGTTTTCGCCACGGATGGATCTTCTTCTTTGCAAAAACGCTTTCTCGCTTTTTTGATAAAATGTAGATATCGACGAAGTACTTCGCTGTACAAATTCCATTTTTACCTTCATCAACAGGGAAATCGAGAATACGTCTCATCTCCGCGTTCCGAGAGTGCGTGTGGTATTAGCAGCTGTATTTTCCCCCGCCGCAATCCGTTGTTGCATTCTTTCGACATTATCCGTGGAAATCAGCACTATTTTTTAGCCCGTTCCATGATTACTCGATAATTCGAGATAATAAAGCTCCGAATATGGGCCCGATGATGTACGGTAAAAAGCCTTTTTGTTGCAGCTTTCTCTTGCACCTCCAAGTATCTCTTTGTTCCGCGATACGGCGCAGCGCCGTTTTGTATCGGATTAGGCGGTTTTTCTCTCTTTTTTCGAGCGATACGGTATCTCTGAGCGTATTGTGAACGCACTAGCGAATACACGCGATGAATTTATCAGCGTTTTGCAGAAAAGCAGCGCGTTGATTTTTATTTAGAAGACACAGAGCCTTCAGTAGACAGATATTTCTCTCTCTGAGAGAGCGCTTAGCTCTACTATGCGCCCTTGCTTCTTCCGCTTCGTCGCCGACGGCATCGTAGCTTCGAATGACGCCCTTCACTCGTGTGCTTCGGGGTTTTATACACTTATTTTTACGCGAGGGATCTGCGCGGTACGTACACGTAATGACGCGGATTGTTGGAAAAGATACATGTTCGAAAACGACATTCGTCCGGTGTCGATTGTTTCAAATCGAGCAGTAAATAGCCGTTAGAACATGAAGTGGCGTCGTAATAAGGGTAAACGGTACAGTTGTTGGCCCCCCCACAGTAATTGGCCACTATATTAGAAATAGAAAGATATTAAGAAATAGCTTATTTTTTGTCCTTTTTAATAAACATATTCAAGTTATTTATTCTTTTATGCTTCAGATGCAATTAATACTTTGCCACTTACTATAATATAATAATTATAATAAATAACTAAATTGTATGATGTGTTGAATATTGTACTATATTGTGGAATTCAATTAAAAAAGCTTAAGAGTGAAGCTGTGATTTGGTAGATATTTTAATGCATTGATGATATATTTATCTCTCACAATCGTTATATACAGATAAANAAAGGTTAATATTATGTTAAAAAATGTTTATTCGTTAAAAGTTTAGCATATTATTATAAAAAATANGTGGCCAACAACTATCTTATAAATAATAGTAAATGACACTGATTGGCCGGGTGGCCAATTAATATTTTAATGGTTATGTTAACTGAGAGCCAGTAATTGGCCACGCATTTGTTGTTGAAATGTTAAGTTGAAACGCTAAGTTAAAACAGAAGTAGCAAAGAATATATTTATTNATCTGTTGGTAAGAAAATTCAGTATTTAATCATTTAATATATTTTGCAATTAAAATGCAATAAATATTACATTAAAANTCTTATGATTGTTAAATTTTCGATATTCTTAATTTTTTTGTTAGGTTAAGAAAAGAAATAAATAAAAAATGCCGAAAACGAAGAAAAAGACTTATTATAAAAAACAATATACAGAAGAAAATATTCAAAAGGCGGTAGATGCTATACAAAAAGGTATGTCGCA